AAGTTAGACTCAATGACTACTGCTGTTAAAAATCCGATTGATATGGAAGAGCTCGTTAGATTTTCCCACAGGATTAGCGCTACTCATGGCGTAATAGCCCCAGACAACTGGACTCAAGGGGACCCTAGAAGACCATACCCAAATAAAGAAGAGATTCGGCGTGGATACTTGGGTCATATTGATGATGCTGGAAATTTTCGGCAGTCACTTTGGGATGCTTTGTTGGATACTGCTGCTGCCGCAGCCTCAATAGTTAGTTCGTCTACCCCATCAGTCTCCAGTAGTTCTGGTCCAAATAGTTTGGGCAACGCGAATATAGTGGCGTCTCAGACTCCTGTATATCACAGTAACCAAACGCAACCCACAAGTTTATCGCTAGGTAATATTCACTTACTGTTGTTATTTTTGAATGTCAGACCCAAATTTGTCACGTTAAGGTGTCTTATCATCCCCTGAGATTATCAACATTATTTAAACTTAAGCTATAAGTGTGATAGACCTTCCTATACTTCAGTAGTTGACAAACCATTATAGCCACCATGAAAAAGTTCAGTCTGTATTTGAAGCTAAGATTTAATAGTTAAGAATGAACAGTCTGATCTTCCTATTTACTGTGTGGTTCCTATTACTTTTATTATAAGAGGTTTTATAAACCCCCTAGAAATACAAAATGATTTTTCAGGATACACCTCGTCACAGTAGTAAGTCTTATATAGTATGTTGATGTGTGAATTTAACAAAATTGTCCACTATACAGACATTTGGGGGTAACCAGCCATCTTCAATCATACTAAAGGAAGTGATTAAGTAGCCATACTATGATACTGAAAGCATTATCTCACGGCTTTCACATCAGAACTGATGTGAAACCCGCTTGGAACTTACAATAAATTTTCGGTCTAGGTTGTGTCAAAAGTGCTTGACCTTGAACACGGAAATATATAGCGTATTGAGGTATCATTTTGTTTAAATATAGATGCGCACAAGCCATTGTTAGTGATCCCATGTCGTAATATACATAAGACTAAAACGATTTCGGTTTTCCTAGGGTATCTTCCACTGTGATAATGTGAAATCTGGCAGCTTTTCCTAATAGACATTTTTCTCAGATATGACGTTATGATTGACCAACTGAAGCTCACATGAGATATGTAATGGAGTAGTAAAAATGAGCACCAATAATCAATCTATATTTTCAAGTACTTTAAACTAGTAGTTATTTCAGCCCTATACATAGAGTTAAATATGTACCGATACCACAGAATATTTTCAACCGAAGACGTTTAGAAATAAAAAAGATCATACGCTACCTAAGATGAAAAAGTTTGATTCGTTGACATGTGCTGTCAAACGTCTATTTAAGGCTCAATAAGTAAAAGAATCCAACTTTATCAAAACCTCGTTTGTGGTGTTGCCTAACAAGTACCATAGCCGTTTTGCTCTCGTCTAATATCTAGTTACGTAGAAAACTATATGAAAATTCTGGGAAGGAGTTTTACAGTAGATGTTATGTGCTTAGCAAAATAGGATAGTAACCATTCCATGTCTCCAGTTGTTTTTCCAAAGAAGAGCACCGGAAAGGCCGCTGGGTTTCTTGTTTAATGTATTTTCAAGTCTAGTATCAACCTTGGAAGGCAGTTTTCATTCACCTAGAGCCGTATCTATTTTAAATTTAGATGACGTCTCAAGTAGGGGTGTTTAAGAAACAAGTTATGTCAGAAACAAAATTATTATGTAATGTATTGTTTTATGTGGTAGACCAGTTTATTTTTAATTATAACCGATATAAGACCCGCCAAAAATGTACACTGACCAAAGTTTCCGCACTTTGGAACGAACTCGATTGTCCGTAAATCATCGTAGTAATATTGATATCAGTGGTGGTGAAAACTAGTCATGAAAGAAATTTTGGGAAAAAAACACTTGCAGTAATGCTCACTCAATATTCTAAATAAAATCAGACATGTATAAGTCTGGGTTACTGAGACCAGTGTTGAATCATGAAAACAAAGGTCTCCAATCAGAGTTCACGATTATCCCGAGAACCCCAACCAGATAGTTTGTAGCTCTCGTTATAGTTTAGTTGAAGACGCAATGACTTCATAGTATGATGTCATTTTTTGGTTTGACTGCGCCTAACTTCTTTCGACTTATTCCTGTGCTGACCAGCGCAGTTCACTGTAGTAGACGATGGATGGAATTAAGGAGCGATGGTGAGAAGCCGATTCTTTTCATATTAATCACATGCGTAAACTATGGATTTCGGAAAAATAGCTGTCGTGTTGCTGTTTGATCTACATCCGATAGTCGTGAAATAAATTTTGTCGACTGTATTTTAAGTTTTGCAAGGAACTGTTTTGTTTTAACATTTTTCTCACAGATTTTTCCATGTACTAATTAGTGCATGCATTTAGTTTATCCGAATAAAACTCAAAATTGTAGAAATATTTTGGCACAGTCATGTAGAATAATTATGAATTATTATTCTTGCCTTTATTTTAGCGTACACTTATTTTTGTATATAATTGTTAAGGTGGAAATTACTTTGTTTATCTTATGAAATTCTAGTCACTTGCTCTCCGAATATGATTCTACCAGGGGTTAACATGGTTTCCTCACCAATGTCCTTTTCACAGTCTGGTGGCTCGTCTACATGGACTGGATCAAATATGAACCTCGTCACAGGAAATCCTACCAGTTCGGAATTAGCTGGTCCTCAAATACCAGCTTCTCGACCGCCTTCGACTTCACTAGCCGCTATGCTTACTGGTACAAATATAATGGATCAACATTCTCGTAACACCACATTGCCTCCACCTCCTCTTAAGCCAGGAAGTGGACAAATGCAAGCAAGTCAGGCCACGTCTTTCCGGCCAAGTGGTGTCCTACCTCGACCATCTAACTCTGGAAATCGACAAGCATTTCCTTCATCTCCGAATTCCTCTGGATCGCAACATATGCAGTATCCACATAGTGATACATATCCCGGTTTTATGCCGAACAGTAAAACATCTCGACCACATTCCAAACGTGCACATCGGAAAAACACAGACACAGAGTGTACGGAAATGTCATCTAATTCCTCTAGTGATTCATCCAGTGGTGAGGAATGACTGTACTTTTGTTACCTTTTCAATAAAATTCAAACAAACCAACTACCTTTTTATTCTCATAGAGATTACTCAGATATTTGAAAGAACGACTGTCGTCCCATGTCATTTCAACGGTTGTTGAGCAAAGAAGATGAGGGAAATCGTCTTCAAACTTCTCATACAGAGCGGTACCGACTAGTTCTTCTCAGTGTGAGACTTCTAAGCAGATCATGTTCTCGAAAATATGAAATCACACCAAAAATTTCTTGATTTTACAGGAAGCACATCAGTAACATTTGATTCTGATCCAACTATCTGTATTTTTTAACCGGTAATTTAGGTACCATAAACAGTATAACGTGTAGGATTATATAATCAGAAAAGATTTTATAATTATGGTTTCTAGTATTCCTTGAGGTGGTTTTAATTCATAATAAACTGTTTACATTTAATTTTATGTGAAGAAAAGTGTACTGAAAATCAACCTGTGAAAAATGGATTGACTTTACAAGACTAAGTAACATCGACAAAATAATTATTATATTCTAACGTCACAGTAACAATGTGGGTAGTATTTTGTGAGTTAAATTAATTACAGTAAGCTAACATTTACATGGCTGTAATCAGTTTGGAATTAAATTTATTCGGGTAAGATCGACGAATCTAAATTTCGAACTTACTTGTCCAGTTGTTATCTTAAAATATTTCTACATTGCTTGGCAGGCAGTTACAATCAAAAACACACAACTCTCAAAATCTTCCACAAAATAGTAAACATATTGGACACACAATCACTAAATATCCAAATTGATGGGCGAGGAAGCATGTCATCGGCCAAAAAAGCTATTGAATGTCAATTCCCCAGATCTCTGTGATATCATATCATATTGATTCAGTCTTAATATTTCTTCGCGAATCGGTCATAAAGTCCTTTGTTGTCATTTCAAAACATTTTCGACTGGTTGTTTAAATAAGTCTGCATATATAGCAAGTTGCGTATCAGGACATTTATTAAAGCGCTGTTAATTAATGAGTAGATGTACTCAGATCATTCGTTCGTTGATTCTAAGGCCACCATTACCTTATCCATCAAATTAGAATCTATAATAACAGTACAGACCACATAGAAATGAATCAGCCGAGCTTTGTTAACGGACGAATCAAGCGAGTAGATTAAAAGTAACATTCGCACTTATGAGTGATAGAAAGCCCTATCCTACCAGAAAATAGTTCACACACGGAAAGAAAATTTGAGGTAAGATAAACTCGAATTAGTGCGCGTTTTAACATAAAATTCGATTATTTGAAGAATTCAGCTATGAAACGTAATCAAGACCTAGTCCGTTAAATGGGTTCAACTCTAAAAGCAGATTTGTTTGACATTAATAGAACAGAATAGTTGTCAGGTGTTAATTTTAATTAATTATGTTTAGCGAACCTCAACAGTAGTTATGATTTATTCCTAACTAAGAATGTCGTTTATTTAGGTTTCTTGGATGGTTAAATGGTTTTGTAACTTGGCCTTGGATACGTCGAAGATAGTTGTTTTTAGGTTACATAAAGGTCATCGTTCGCATTCAATTACATAACTATGCCACGGAAATTCGACTGATGTTGTAGAAAATGATGATACGCGATATCACTACAATGATATTCGAGGTTAGAACTAACAAACTAACTCCTGTCAAAGGCAAATCGTGATTGGCCTAAATAATAAACTCACAGATTGAAATCATGAGTCAGTTGAAGCTAGACCACCATGGAAAACCTGGTCTAGCTTCAACTGACTCATAATTTCAATCTGTGAAATTTCTAAAATCTCCACAAACCCCTTCTGATACTAAATAATAATCGTCTAATAATTTATTATTACCATAGTCAACTAATACTTAATTGGAGAAGTGATTTACAACCGTGATACTTATTTTATATAGAATTACGTTGTCACAATGCATAACAAAATGAATATATTATTGAAATTTACCCGGAATGGCGGTGCATCGAACCATTGTGTGAAAGGTAAACAAATAAAAAAGTTTGAAATCAGATGAAAATTCTGGTAGAAGAGAATGGAAATTTTACAATCACAGCTCACGGAAAAAAATTCAAAGGAAATAAGTGAGAAATATGTAATCATTGTTAAAGCATATAGAAAACCGGTTTATGATCTAATAAGTTTGAATCATTATCGGATTTAGGAGGATTAGATAGTGAAGTAGAACCTGTTATAATTTTGCTAACAGGATACTTCTCATCTTCCGTACCACTTGTATTCACCTGCTTTCTGGAATTATTAGTTGAACTGACCATATCAGGTGTATAATAATCCATAGGCAGCTTAATTGTTGATCGAGGAGATGATTCTTCTTCTAGAAAGGCCAGTAACAATTCTGTGAAGGTCTAAGTGAACAGAAAAATGTCATCATGGTCTTTATTGAGTCTTCGATAAACAAAAGTAACATTGATAATGTAATATAAGGGAAAATTAGGATATTACACCGATAATATGTCAATAATTTTATTTAGTTTTTATCGTAGAAAAATCTTGCTGAGTAGATAAGGTAGGTGAAACACAATTGTGTTAAGCTATTATGCCTTAAATAATGAAATCATTCCCATACGACGGAAAAATACTTTCTACCGGGACAAACTACATCTATGTAGGTAAAGATTGAGTAATTAATTCGAATTTGGAGAAACTTAAAAATACTGACTCATTACTAGGGAAATTATCAAGAGTAATCATGTAACTGGGTTTTCGACAGGTCGTTCTACATAATTCCTTTTGTTAATAAGAGGCCTACAAGAACTGAGGCCATGTGTAATCTAAATATAGTAGTTCAGTCTACAGACGACCTACATTCTTAGTATATATACGCCAGCACAACCTACACTTACAGTCAGTAGTTGTCAAGTGAACAACAGATGCTATGATAATGGAAACGGTTGGAAGTCATATGTATAAAAAGTACTCAAAGGCCAACCAAAAACAGTCATTTGATATCAAGAAACCAGTACAAAACAAAATGAATAAGGTAACATCCATACTAAACCTGGGAGCAGACTGTAAGGAGGTTTTAAAAAAGCTACGTCACCCTAGTACGATTGAAACGGTAGTTGTAAAAGATTTAGCCAAAGAATATGACTCTCAGTGAATGTTTCATCAACATAATATAGTATAATAGAATCCTTTCTTCTTTGTGAGTCGCCTACATTGTGAAAACCATAAATATGGTGTAAAGTGGGTCATAATTGTCAAATACTCATTTTCGGACCTTTCCACATTTACTATGATGCTGGTGTTTCATCCTGCTTATTGAAGTCGCAGCAAAACTCATCATTTATATATCGTTGTGGGCGATTTAGTCAATCACTCTGCCCCAGTAAGATGCTCACGAGGTTCTCTCATAAACTAACCTGAATGATCAGAAAGTTAAAAATTATCAGTTTTAAAATGATTTAAACAGAAAGTTGAGCACTTTTAATATTGTGTTCATATTTGAACCCATCGTGCCTGACTGTTGTGTTATATCCTAACACTTGAGGCAGTTACAATAATAATGAACTCAAAATCAATATCTCGATACTGAAATACAGTAGGAGATAACCTTAAAAAATAACTCAAAAATAGTCTAGATATGATAAGAGATGTTAATGTATAATACATGTTAGCAGGATTTCATGAATAAGCTATGTCTGTAAGATACATATATTTGAGAAAATACAAGATAATAAGCTAATTGTGAAATGTCTGAGTTTAATGCATTGAAATACTGATGATGTTGACTGTCATTTAAAAAAGTGTCATTTGCGTGTAGCTTACGTAAAATATCGACACCATCCACTTTACATCAACTAGTTGCCAAATATGGTGACATTACCTTTGATTATAACCTTAGTTGATAATGTCTTGAAAGTATTTTTAATCAATCTCTCTACTTTCTGACTAATTTTAATAAAACTTTTTTTCGTTAGTGAGAATATAAATTGAATTTAATGAAAATACGTACCACTAATCATATACAGATGTATAAATGAATATCAGATTATGATTAGAACCCACTGTGATACAAGGGTAATTTATCGAAGAAGACTATAACTGGAAAATTTAATGAATCTATCTACCCACACATTGTTTATTTACAAGCTTTCTTCTTTTTAAAAAAAGAGAACTGATTGACCAATTAAAACTATTAAGGAATTATCGAGTAAAAAAAACCCATTGAAGACTTCATATACAAATATAAATGCAAAAAAAGTAGTTGAAATCACGAATTTCAAATGACTTCTTTTCTGATCCACAACCACTACCACACACATGACTTCAGAACTACATTATAAACTAATCATCTGATTTATATATATATATATATATATATATATATATATATATATGTTTTATTTAGCAAAGGAAATATGAAAATAATGTGAGAAAAACCAATATACCATGAATGACGGTTTGAAACACAGACAGAATGTATAAAGTGAACACCCGTAAGTATGTTTAACAGAAGGAAATTTGTAAAATTTACGTTTAGCTATATTAATTAATACCTAACTCAATTACACTTAAGGAAAAAAAACATTCAAATGTCTAATACTATCAGGAAGTTTTGTTTTTAGTTTATACTTCACGGATTGACTATTTGGTAATGAAATCAGGTTTTCTATTCATGTCACTTTATATGTACATGGTAATTTATTACTTCTAACTGAATAATAATAATGAGTTAATAGCATCAGTTTTAAAAAGATTTTTAACATAAATTTTTCCTTGTAAGAAAAAATGATCTAAAATATTGTTTTATGAGTCGTGGATGCGCACTGCTGAGGAGTCCACAATAGGACGAGACGGTCGTCCAGTGCTTCCAGGTTTTCCATAGTGGTCTAGCTTCAATTGACTCATGATCTCAACTGTTTAAATTACTACAATCTCCACAAAACTCCTTCTGATACTTATGAGTAATTATCATAAAAATATCCTACTATGACAGCTATACATAACTATTTCATGAAATTTCTATCAAATTTAAACAAACATATTAAAATAATAACTATTAGCTCTGTTATGATTACAACTGAGTGCAGTGCATTTTTACACTTATTGAGAAGGGTACAGTTAGCAAAATAGAAAGTATTAGAATTTCCTAAATTATTTATTTTACAATTCAGCAGTGGTTGGTGTTGCAGTCGACATAATCAGTTACTGTGTTGTGTGGTGAAGTTCTGAGAAGTGGAACGAATGTACACACAGTTTTACTGAAAATTTAATTATTCTACAGCAACTTTGTAGTAGTTGACAGAAAGTCTCAATTTTTAAGAAAGTACTTGGTGATGTAACATTGAAACATAGAGAATATTATGTCATGATAAGCACAATGAATGGTAACTTTTGGGATCCATTATGGACCAATACTATGCTTATATTTGTGTCGCATAATTGTTAAATAACTAAACTATACATATTCATATCCCTCTTATTATGAGCTTTATTCTGACCTATGAACTATTATTCTACGATCTACCATTCTTGAATTATGCTCTGTCTATTAATTACTACCTCCCACATTCACAGCCACATTTGGCTAAATCTTGTACAAATGTTATTTTCCATTTTACAGTACGATGTGGTCTATCTGGTTGGTATATAAACCCAGTATGCTTGAAATAAATGATTTTTATCGCAGAGGCTGAGATTGGTGTTCTGGACGTAACTGGCTGGGCTAGACAGGAAGCAAAACCGATAAGGACTCTAGACTTCTAGCACGGGTTTTATGCGTCATTGGTTCGGTCGATAAATCACTGTTCTCTAGTCGGCAGTGTCGTTACGTATACATTAGCAGGGCACACAGGCCACATGTTATAACAGAGAATTTCTTAAAATACATAAAGATAACATAGAGTGATAACATCATAATTACCTATACATATATATTCTAGATAATGAATGAAAATTTAGTGAAATAAATAGGAAGTAATAAGACATTTTTATTGTGTGCAATTGCAAAAATTATAAAATTAAGTCATGACTAACCTTATCGTTATTATTCGATGAAAGTAGAACATCTTTTGGGGGTCCACTAGGTAAATTAGATACAGTGGTTCGAACCCATTTCATTAGTTTAGGTAATGTGCCAGATTCATTGCCAATCTATGCAAAGAAGTAAGGTGATATAGGATATACATTATCAAGCGTTAAGCATACAATTTAAACTACAACAGTTTTAATACTAATTCAAAATTATTAAAGGTACAGTATGACTACAACTCAAAATATTGCTGCTGTTAAAAAAACGAGAAACATGGATGAAATTAAATAACCAGTAATAATAATTGCTGGTCCGTTAAACTAAAAACATGTGGTGGATTTTGAAACAAGTCATCCGATGTCACCGGCCATTATTTACGATAATAATGCTAACTCTAAGTATTTGGTATGGCCCTACAGCTCAGTTCAACAGTTACTAACTTTACAGACTGGTGATAAATATTGGTCTGAGTGCACTCAATTTCTTCCAACATCCAGTATCAGGTGCTTTGAAGTAGATGGTTGTCATCAGTCTCCAGTTAATCTAGCACGAAAAGTCATATACTGTCTGGAAGACCTATATATGATGCACCAGAAATAAATGATTGGATATAAAGTCATTGTGTACAAACATATTTATAATGTTCTTATCATCATTATTATAGTTAGAAAAGCTACATGTTGAATATCAGAAGGGAAAAAATATACAAATTAAAGGAAGTATGCAGAAACTAACTTTCAAGTAATCCTCATCTGAAAATTCCAACAAACTTCCGATAACTCGAATAGCACTACTACGTTGATTTGCAGGTAACTGCAAGTAGCTAAGTAGCAAATTCTTAATTAGTACTCTAAAAGAGGTAATGAAGAATATTTTAAAGGATTTTTATTGTTGTGTCATATATGTATATATATATATTATAAAGAAGTAATTTATATAACTTTGGTATCTGGTATATGCGACCTATAATTGAACTTCAAATATAATCATTTGTTGTAGTAACACAAAGCGAACACGTACATCAAAACAATTATATAAAGAATTCAGCCAACAACATTGTATGCAATCTATCCGGAAGCATTATGTTATATTATGGCTATAGACTAAAATACAATTAACCAACTGTTTTCTTAAGGACCAGATATCAATGACGAGTAAAATAGTGGGATAATTTAATTATGGTCTTAATTGCTAAATTATATATAATAGATTCATTGTACCTGTTTTTACTCATTGACTGGTCATAAATAATATTATCTCAATACAATAAATTTCATCTATCAATTACACTGTTAAAGTAAAGTCGCATACTGAGACTAAAATCCAGTTGCACAATATATGTATATGTAAAAGGTCATGAATATTTTGAACATAATAAATTATGTCTTTTGAAAAATCTATCAACCTGAAATGTGGACAAATAATCAACATATAAGATTTCACAAAGCAACACATAATTCATAGTAAAGAAACCAAAACAGAAAAAGTTCATATCGTACTTATCAATTCGTGCATCTGTATCTACAGCCATTTTAGCAAGACGATCACGAAGTCCATTATTTTCTGTATCACGTTTTTTAACTAAAAGATAAAAAAAAAACAATTTAGAGTAGGGCTTCAAATAGTGAGACATTTTTGTACAGTATTATTTTATACATTAGAGATTATCAGACTACGCTAAATAATGAAGCCGTTTCATGTTCTGATATCGAATATCTAACAAAGTCCCATTACTTTTATGTTATCGCAATAGATCCTAAATTTGTACTACAAAATATCACTACTGGTCAGGAATTCATATTCCTTATAATAAACCTTGGTTTACCATCACTAGTTTCTTAATCATTTTATTATTGATTGACTGAAAAGTAAGGGATAAATAAACATCAACTAAACAAACCTTAAGTACTTCCTTTACTATTGGATTCACTTTTCAAAAAATGCATCAGTGCCCATGAATTTACTGGATGATCTGTTTATTAGAATCTTTTTTAGAGTGATTTGAGTTTAAGTGTTAAATGGATGCTAATAAACAATAACGACTGCATTATAATAATGTATGCAATGTTCATTACTAATGAGAACTATTATTTTCATAAGATTAATGAACTAGACAGAATGAAGCTTTTAAAATTTATTTATTTATTCCGAATTTAAGTAGCGGATTATGAAATGTTTCATTGTTGTCATCTTCAAACAGCCACTCTACTGATATACAGGTAAAATGGATAAACACCACCATGTTCTAACAAAAACGAAGTGGAATCACTCCTGGAAATATCTTCTACATGTTCTGATATCTGATTTAAGTACGGATAGATTGTCTGGAAGATCATTTGGGTATGTGCATGTTTACATTTTTAATAATAAATTGTTAATCTTGAGTGCAAAACCTATTAATGATATAAGGTAAATATGTATATACACTATTAGGTTAATGTTATCAATCAATAGACGATGAAAATGACTAAGTTTTTAACGGATCAACAACAAATGATTTTCACTGAAATATTCCTTAGAGAGCTTTTTACATTCTAAGTATAAAAATAACGTGGAACAAAATTAAATTTTGCGGATTTATTGAGTAAAATTACAGAACATTAGATTCATAGGATAAGACAAACTTATCCATTTTTATGATGGAACAGTTAGAGTAATAAAATTTTTCAAGAAAATGAAATGTAATTTCGATCATAATACACATATTTAAATAAAGCAATTTAATATCACTGTTAACCTTTTGTTTCAAGTCGAAGGATTTGTTCACGTAATTGTTGATTAACATTTTTCATTTGATTTAATTCATTGGCTAATTCTTGATATTTGATAATTGATTTATTTAATTGTTCCATCTCTTGTTTTGTAGCCATTTCTTTTTGAATAGTTCGATTAAGTTCAGCTCGAAGATGTTCCGTTTCAGCTAGAAGAGTAGCTTCCTGATCTATTATTATAAAATGAGAAAAGGTATAGTGAACAAAAGAAAAAGATATTAGATAAGATACATCATAAAAGTTGTCGTAAATAAAAATAATTATGTAAAGGTTCATTTATTCAAAGATTTGAGTCATGCAACTTTGACAAAAGTGCCATTGATGCTACGATTCAACATGCTTAAATAAAATCGAATATTGTAAGATTACGAACATTGTTATATCCTAGTGAAGATTAAATTACGAGTAACTTCCGAGAACTATTAATGGACTAATATCTTACATACATTGTTATCGTATAACTATTCAATAATTAGACTGTGTATATATATATTCCTCTTATTATAAGCTTGATTTTGACCTACAGATTATTATTGTACGATTTACTGTTCTCCCACGTTCACAGCCACTTTTGAATTTATTTTGTATAAATGTTACTCCCTATTTTATGGTGCGATGCGGTCTGTTTGGCTGGTATATAAACCAAGTATGTCTGAAATAAATGATTCGCATAGTGGAAGCTGTCATTGGTGTTATGGGCCCAACTGTACGGGCTAGGCGAGCAAAGAACCAATGAGGACATTGGACTGATCAGACCGGTCGAACGTAATTGTTTTAGTACAGTACAAGAGTGGATAAGTCGTATTTCGATTGGGGAATAAATTACGTGATAAGTACCCAGACTTACAGCCACAACAATCATGTAATTAGATGCTGAAATATTTTTAATCAGGGATGAATAGGGTGGTAGAAATGGAATCCAGGACGAGCGTCTTTTCCTGTTCGGGACTCGTCAGATGGATGTACCTTTACTGCAGTATTGATATTTACATCGAGACACACCAAATGCCTTTCGCTTCAAACGACAACGCATTATCCACTAACCTACCGATTCTAGATAGCCGCTGGTTTATGCAACGGGGATGAATTATAATTTAGTATTTGTTTGGGTGATTTATTAATTTGAACACATAAACGTTGGTACAAGTGGGCACTACATATATGTGTGCCACAGAATAACAATAAGGTTGTGAAGAGATAGAGAATGTAGAGTGTGTATAATAAAAAGCAGAGCAACGAACAGAAATTAGTGTATGAGAGTGAAATAATAATAATAATAATAACAATAATAATAATAATAGGAGTAACAGTTTACTTAAAAAAATACAACCAGAAAAATTTCTTTCACTCAAACAAGTTGCGTTCACTTTACGAAAAGAGTAAAATAAAACTACAACAGGATCGCCACTAGCCTCTATCCTGAACCATGTCTGATAACTTCTTAAGCCACTGTGTTGCACCATGTCTAGGACGCCAACCAAGGAGTTGTGAGGTATCAATACATGCCAGTCCTGTACAACTTTCTTTCATACCACGTCACCATGCCATACATTGACTACCTCTCCACTTTTTCCATCCGGTCAGAGCGTTGTCAAATAATACACGACGTGAAGTTCTCTGGGACGACATTCTTAAGACATCCAAGCCACCGAAGTCAGTGTTTCAAGATGTTGACATCATTTGGATTATCGTCTCTGCGCTCGAACACACGATGCCGAACCTCTGCATTACTAACATGGTGTTGCCACTGGATGTCAACAATGCCCAGGTACGGCCGAGAGTGGGCAGAGTCCACTCTCCCTCTCGAAATACTCTCACATGGTCACGCGTATATAGCCTCTGCCAGGGAAGTCCTACTCACTGCCTTTTCGTGGCATTACTATTGTTTACGAAATTGAGAGGACGAAAAGTGAATATCAAGCGCTTGAACTGGGGTTGGTGGACATGGAGAGTTCACCTATGGGAGTTGGAAAACCCTGATTCCAAACCAATGGTGCACATGGGCTGGCTCCAGGACCCTGAAGAAACAAATGGCGTATGAACCAATCGTTGGTCACCGGCTACCATGGGACTGCATCTCCTTACGTTGCTGCAAGTGGCTCGAATAAGTTGGAAGAGCTTTCAGCAGTTACCAGATGCAGCTGCTGCTTCCAACTCATTGGCATACTCCAACCACCAGGCTTCTCGGTCGTTATGCAAGCTTTGTCCAATTGCATTACGTAACAGCCTTCGCTCGAGGTCAAACTCACGGTCACCCGTGAGTAGACCGACGGCATTCAATGGTTTGTAAGGAGTCAGAAAAAACCCAGTGCTTATAAGCAGGACGTTTCGCGAAGCCCCATGTGACTTTACTCGCCATTTTCATTACATCGTACGATTGCAACCCATGCTCATTTATACTTTTCGGTGGGATGGTAGCTAGCCTAGAACCTAGATCGGTTTGATATTTATTTGCAACAGAAGCTGCAACCAATTCGCTAACATCGATCGGTTTAGGACGATGAATTCGTTGGCCACTGAAAAGTAAGGTAAGATTAGAGAGAACAAGGGCATGATGTGAGTTCAGCTACATACTCCAAAAGCAGCAGCAGCCTTTTTGCAAAACCACGCCAGCGGTAGTTGATCGCGATGTGATCAATCTGAGTCCAGGCTTGAGATGCAGACGGAGGACACCAGGTGGCACATCGGTGATGACTGTGCTGGTAGTTATTGTAGGTCTGAGACAGGTTGTAGTCTGCGCAAAGTCGTAGTAAACAGTCACCTTTATCTAACCTCTGACTAACAAGTCTCCATCAGCCACCTAAACGACTCTCTTCTACGTCTAAACGCCCGACCTGAGTATTCAAGTCTCCGGCTAGTACTACAATATTTGTCGAACACACTTTCTGTAGAACAGTCAACTGGTTGTAAAGCTCATCGTTTGTCGCATCCAGGCTTCAGTCTGTCAGAGTTCACTATCCGTAGTTGGTGGTAGCATTCAACTTTCAACTAGTCAGTGACTTGGGGTCGTTTAGATAAGACAGGAATTCTGCCATGGGCGAGCTGTTGCATAAGTTTAAAAATGAAATGCGCAAAATGATAATAAAAAAGAAAGGTCAAGTGGAGTAGCATAAGGAAAATAAAAACGAATATTATCAAATAATCGTGACTGAGATTTGTCTGAGGGTTGGGATAATATCCAGGCTCCCAAATTGAAGCAAGTGATTTTCGTAGGAGGTCCACAACCCGAGCCTTTGACCTAAAGGTCTAATCTACAAGGTGGTGGAGCGACGTTACGAGATGCAGCCCCATGGTAGCTGGTGACCGACAAAAAGGTTCATACGCCATTTGTTCTCTCAGGATCCTGAAGTTTATGTGCACAGTTGGTTTAGAAACAGGTTTTTTCCGATCCCCCTAGGTAGATCCTCTGTAAACTTTCTTCCGGTTAAAGTGCCAGACAATCGCTTTTCCGGTAATGTGCATGAAAAAAGCAAGAAATAATAGTTGGCTCATCTGAAAGTAGTAATTTGTCTGAAATCTATAATGATATGGAGCAAACGGAGTTGTTTTTGTATCACTTATCTGAAATACAAGTAATAAAGAGATAGGAAACTACAGAAGTTCATATGCGCGTGTGGAAGGGAAACCCGAACAAGGAGAAATATGTTTTATGATTTTATAGAGGTGAAACATGAAAATCTCTTATGACCGGTATGAATATAGCAAAATACATATAGGAAAACGTCATAAAGGGAATAATTTGTGAATACTTATTTGGTTTTCTTAAAAACATAAATGTATAAGTAATCTTTACCATTTGTCTGTATACAACGAAATGAGTAGGTAGCCAGGACTTGTAAATAAAAACAATAAACTAATAAAAAATTTTACCAGTTAACTTAGGTAATCATCACGTAAACAAATCGGTCATTGATTAGTTGATAAAATAGCATGGTAAAGTAAATTATCATTCATGCAGGAATTCAATTATTGACCAAATACAGTATATTATAAGAACAAAAGATGATGCATGTTAAACTCGAAAAAAATTAACTTACTGCGCTGAAAATTATCTAAAACTGTTTGTAGAGTTTTTAAACTCTCTTTTAAATCCAGAACTTCACGTCGACTAGCCTCCAAATGTTTTAAAGCATCGTCTCGTTCAGAATAAGCTGTCTGCAATTGCGTATCTGTTGTAGTACATGAATCTTTCAGTTGAGCAAGGGACTTTTCAGCTTCGTTTAAACGTGAACGAAGTTCCACCTCACGATTTTCTGCAATAACAGCTTCAGAGGTATAAGATTCTTCCATCTGATTTATACATGTGGAAAATATATAAAAGTATGAAACGTGATAGAATATATTAACAAGGTTACTTTTAGCTCATTCAAGAGCGATGCTTCTTTAAAGTTTTCTTCTGTGGAAAACTGAAGCAAAACCATAATATCTCTAATTTTGAAGCATTCGAGGTTCTAAATTCCATAAAACATAATTTCTTCAAAGCACTTGAACAGCACTGGTACCCTATCTGAGTAGACTATGACCTTACAAACAAATCTGTACATACCTTAGGAATTGTACCTTTTTTGCAGTACGAAAAATGGAAGGAAACACAACTTTTTACAACTCAAAATCTATTTTGAATTTTAACTGTAATACACACTTTATAAGAAACCACTCCAATATGACTCAACAAGACCCATCAATTCTTTTAACTAATAACAACTCTACGGGTAAACAATGAATATTTGGCAAGTTTTTAATAGTGTTGGATTTTCTGAGATGAGTAGTTTAATTGCAGAGCTTTCACAGTCGTTCTGGACGAAATCAGTGGCTTATTTAAGTAGTTAGTGAAGTTGTGTAAAACAAAAATGAAATCACATAAATTAAATCATTCCAAATTTGAGGGTGCAACACAATGAAAATAAATTGCCTAAGCTACAAATAGTTATCCTTTCAAAAGGGGACAAGTTATTAGTAGTTACCGACGGTAATTGCATTAAGTAGTTATTTAGTATGAACTTAAGGATAAAACAATAGGACAGTGAATTTAATGAAAGTTAAAACAAAGTTTTATGTTCGCTTTTTTAAATAATGAGAGGATATAGACAAAGTGAAACATTTGGCAAGATAACCATTGTTTCTAGCATCAACGGAAACCACTTACGTAAAACTCCTAATTAATATATTTTTATTGGGTCAGTAGAGACATGCCTATGAGACAACTTAATAATATTTAATATGTTTGCGTAAATCTGATTCAAAAAATAAACGGCCACAATAGCAAAGTATGCTGGCAGTTAAAATGATCGAATGAAAACAATTTTAGATTTGTAAAGAGGAATTTCTTCATTGACAATCAGTAAGAAAAAATAAAATTTCTGAATAAACAAAGGTTGAAATTTAGGAATCCGAGCAGTTTCGTAAATCGACACGAAATAACCAACACCCTGAGTCCATAAGATTGGATATGACTACCAAATTTCTGTGAATATACCTTCAAAAATAAAGAAGCAACAATTGAGGCGTATTTGAACTAGAGTAGGAATGCAATGAGATTTTGATGAAGTTGAATTCAGAAGTGATTATAAGTTGGCCATAGCCATGTAGTTAATAATCAACTTATTTTTATTATTTTCAAAAATGAGTTAGTCAAGCAGTAACCAAGTATACATAACAATTATAAGTTAATTTCAATAAGTAAGAATAAAAAAGTATACAGTTACCAAACTTAGTGCACAAATCTTGTTAAAATATACTGATCATTTTACACACCTCAACTAAATGTGCTTGTAAGCGTTGGATTTCGGCTATTAATTTTCCTTCGTTCGATGTTTCCTCTTCAAAATTCATTTTACTTGATTGATCTACTAATTTAGTTGACGCTGTTATAGTTTCATTCATTAACAGAGATTGTTTCACGATATTGTCAGCTTCCATCTTGATAAAATAATAATAATGACATCAAAGAGGAAGAGGAAGAACGAAGTCTAAAAACGGTACATTGGTATTGGAATGTAAATATCGAACTAGATCTACTTGGATAAACTGAGAAGTGAACGCTGTTAGTGTCTCGACCTCTTTGTTTTATTAGGAGATCTAGTAATAAAAATACATTAAAGACCGTCATAAGGTATGATACACACACCAAAATTACCAATGTGTTTCAGCTTGAAGCCTAGATTTAACTTTATGGAAACTACAGTGATAGTGGTAGTTCACCATGATACACAGTTTATTAAATGCTGTATATGAGATGTTAACATAACAGTTCGGTACACCGTGAATAAATTTTAAACGAAAGATAGTATATATGAATATTCGTCAATATTAGAACGACTGGTTTGACAGAAATTGGGCGCCGAGTATAGAAAGTCATTATATGTGAAAATTATATTTGAAATAACCTCAGTGTTTGAAATTTAAATGATTCCGACGTTTCGTTCAGCAAACCTGTCTGGACTTCTTCAGGGTAATAATTAAAATCAAATTTATCAAAGAATAATAACTATGGTTCTGGTTATTACCTTGAAGAAGTCCAGACATGTTTGTGGATGAAGCGTTGGAATTATTTGAATTTTAGTCGCTTGGATTATTTCAAATATAATTTTCACACAGATAATATAATTCATTTATATTGGTTGTTTGGATTTTCTTATTGTTATTTAAAAATGCAACTGATCAATGCCTTTTGGCATATTTGCATCTTGTGTGGATTAGATCGACATTGCCATAAAGTCACAAGGCTATCTAGACTCAGTAGTTAAGTGGACAACACGTTGGTGTTTGGGGTGAATTGCACTGGGTTCGAGTCTGGGAGTAAACAATTCCAGCTGACGAGTCCAAAGTAGGACAAAACGCATATCTTGAATTCCACTGCTAGCCGCTATACATCCCTGCTTAGAAAGACAATATAAATGTTGATAAATGTGATGAATAACATTATGCAGATATTATCGTAAATAAGGTACCCGATTATAGTAATTAAAAACTGATTCTATAAATAATAAATTTCTAATTATTGAAATGTTGAGGCGAAATCAACGGAAATATTTTACACGATACAGAGTGACAGAGGATAATCATCTATGCATATTATTTTTATGCTATGAATTGATAAACGTTTTTTGTGATTTATCCATAAATTATTGGATATATGAAGACCTGAATATCTGATGTTCGAATAGTGCAAATATCGAGAATGGATACTGATTAAGTGTTGAATAAAAGTTCAGAGGAAACAACTAGTTGATTAAATCCCTTTTTCCAAAACAATTATCTTTATACATACTATTTATACTTATGAAGGAAAAAGTGGATGGACTCATAAATAAACTTACTTGTTTAACATTTAATTGTTCTCGTAAACTATTCACTAAAATTTCTGCTTCCTCTCGATGTTTTCTAACTTCATTTAATTCATTTAAAGAATGCTGTAATCTCTCATGATATAATTGACTTTCAGCATGTTTCTGTTGTAAACTATTCACTAACGTATTGTACATCGATTGGAAATTATCTGAATTAATTTTATATTCATTAAATTTAAAACTGAACTTTTCTAATAAAGAAAAGACTTTTGAAATATTTGTTAGTTCAAAAGAGTCAGGTGACACGATAAATGTTTCACAGTTTTGTGATGAATTGACCAAATGATCATTGTATATAGAACAAATATATTTGATTAGTTCTTTACAATATTGTTCATAATTTTCTTTGCGCTTATTCATTTCGTCAATAGCGTTATCAGTAATTAGGGAGGTTTGTGTTTCAGTATCAATATATGATGCTTTACATTTATGTTCCGTATCATCATTGACAACATCGTCGGTTATTGTAGAGGTACTAGTACTAACAGTAGCAATAACAGGAGAGTCAGTAGAGGTAGCGACGCAGGCAGTGGTAACGACAGTAGTAGTAATAGGTGTAAGTTTGGACTCCATGCCTGGCAAGACACTTTCCAACTGTTGCTTCTCCATTTTCAACTTATCAATCATATCATGTTGGTTTTGAATTGTGAAAAGTAAATGTTTTAAATCTCGCTCTGCTTGTGTTCGGAATGTTGTGTGCTGCGCTAAAATATCACGAAGTGCTGCAACTTCTGCAGACAATTTGACAACACTTTCAGATTGATCATCAGTTTCAGTTAATTCTGAATCTAGGCGATCCTATGAATGTTTTTTAGTAAAAAAGAAAATATATGATTTTTATAAGGATCTAAAACAAATGTTTCAGCGACGAATATATATATATATATCGGTAGAATATGGTGTTACAATGAAAACAGAAGATCCACCTATTCTCTCTTTATACAAGAAACTTAAATCACTTTCATAAATATTATAATGTTTAGGTTATAAGAACTGCACATCTGTTGTCTATTTAAAATATCACAGACACTTAATGACTGAGTTAAGTGTGAAGAAAAATAGGTGAATGCATAAGGTCGCTTTTATCACAACACCAGGATTGATTAGAGAACTATAGGAAACTAGGGATAACTAAAAAGATGTATGGTTTAAATCCAAAGCTGCTCAGCAATGAATAACTGTAAAATAATATGAAATCAAAACAAAATCAACATTCAGTTATGACGGTGAGCATGATATTTGTAGGTTATCGAGTTCCAGTACACACTTCGTACTTCAATCAGTTTCGGATCAAGTATGATTGTAATCAAATAACATAGATGATATGCTTCACTTCCTATACGGTCGAAAGTTAAAATTATTAGTTTCTCCTTCCAAATTAGCCAAAACTACCTCGAGGCCCTCTCTGAATTGTGAAAATCTTGGGTTCGATCTCTATAGGGTTATAAGTGTTAGCTAATAAGGATTTCTAAACCAAAAAACAGTTGACCAGAATTGAATGGTTTTTTATGGATCTCCATAGGATATCAGTTCGTAAGGAAAATAACTTTAGATTGAATAATCCGTAAAAAAAAACCTTAACGTTAAATATAAGCTAGACAAACAGTGATACCATTTAAACATAAAATGAATTTTTCCTAAACACAACACCTATATTAGAGAAAGTGACTTGGAAACTGTCCAGGACTAACTGGATAGGTAATTATATATGAAGTACCTTATCATTTTTCATTGTATATTTATAGATTATTTTGAAATGTAGAAAAAAACTAACCTTAAGTAGAGTAAATAACTCAATTTCCCAATCATCAGGATTCCATTCTTTTTCACTAACCTCAGGATCGAGGGAAACACAAATCTGATAAGCCAGAGAGCTTAATTCAACAAAATCGTCCGAAATCTGTAAGTTCTCTGTAGAATTAGAAGATTTGAGATTTTCTTCACAGTGAGCCAACTGATCATACAACTGTTGGTTATCGCATTCTAGTCGTTTACATTTTTCTTTAAACAATGAAAGTGAATCATTCAAACGAATGATTTCATTACGAGCAGAAACCTCAGAAGCAGTTAATAGAGCTAGTTGGTCTTCAACACTTGTAGGTGGCCATGTACAGGAAGATTGTTGGCTGAGTAAATGACTGGGCAAAGTAGGCGGTGGTGGAAGTGATAATAAATCCGAAACAGTTGTGTTTAAAGACTTTTGTAAACGATTGAATGGTTCTAATTGGCTTTCTAGTTCAGCTATACGATTCGCATTCGCGATACTACTATTTGAAAGCATTTCTTCTAGCTGTTGGATTTTCTCCTTCAGACTAAGAGAAGATGGGAGCTGAAGGAAAAATTATTGAAGATGCAATGAATAATCGTTTACATTAGTCAATAATTACTTCAAAATCTACGCTTGATGATAACGTGTAAACTAAATTTTATTCATAAATAGATTATTTTGATATTCAATCATTTACAACGTAGGACCAGGCACATATATGCATCGGTCAAAGTTACCACACCTATTTAGTACAAAAAGATGAACACCAAATTCATAGAAGTAGTTAATTCAATGGTAGTAATATATAAAAGAAAGAATGTGCATGAGGATATGATATAGGGAGAAAGAATTAGTTCGTTTAAAGAAAAGTATAAAGATATTCTAATCTTATGGTTTAAGAGAAAACAAAAAGTGTATACACCGACGCCATTGTGATCGATTCTGAGTCATGTCAAACAGTCTCCAACCCCTGGTTACGATAGTTGCGCTGACCCCAATCGAGTAGTCTGCATCTACCAACATGGCTTAGACCAAAACTTAATGACTTTATGGAATGATGCCACGTTTTGGTCTGGCCAATACCAACTTTCTTCCAACCGTCTTCATCATCAGTCAGCATTGCGCGTCGTGGTAATCGGTGGTTGAGCGTGTGTAATACGTGGCCAAACCATCTCAGTCGATGTAAATTCACAACCTCATCAACTGATTTACCACTATTCCCTAATACACTGCGTCTCACCTCACTATTACTTACTCGGTGATCCTAGTAGATGACAGCAATATTTCTAAGATATGTTTAGCCATTTTTATTAATACATTCTCTAAGTAAAACCACCTACTTGCTGTCACTTTATGTTAACACCGTCTCTAGCAACTTTAACTAATTTGAATAATATCTAACATCAACAGTATATCACTGTGTCACATGACACACGCATTTCGGTAGACCTGATTGACATATTTTGGTAATTACTGTTTTGTTGTTCCGTGCCCTCTGTTTTCGTTTTAATTTCTCTAGTTGTAGATAATTATCATTAGTTTGATCTGGCACACGAAATGACCTTGATTACACCGTTCATAAATCAACAGACTGTCCATTTAAGAAAAATTAAAAGTTCCCGGCTGATGCATTGGATCGCTGAAATACATGTACTACCTAAACGATTACCGAACTAGTATACTTAAAACTTTCTTCTATCAAATGTTTGTTCTGTACATCTAATGTTACGATTTATATCAAATTGATCATGCATGTAAACTGGTGTGAATTCTGCAATTATTATTTTCAGAATATATAAGAATTATATATGTGATCAAATAATAGTAACTTACGAGTATCCTTTACTCTCTATAGCCACGTTTCGCAGCCGTAAAGTAGAGCAGAACGAAATGCTGGGCAGTATAGTCGTCCTTTTAATTGATGGACTGATATTTCCCCATCGCCATAGGTCACGTAAGTTGGCAAAAGTTAAACGAGCTTTTTGAATCCACTCAGAGATTTCGTCAGACACCAACCCATTAGGGCTGATCAGACTTCCAAGATAAGTGAAGTTGTCGACACGTTCAACTTCTTCACTCCCTAACCTTAGATCAAATGTTGACGCAAACCAGTCTTGAAGTAGCAACTTGCATTTAGAGGGAGGGAGAAACACATCCTGAATATCCTGGGATTGTTGCTCAGTGCCATAATAATCTCTGCATGAAAGTATATATATAAACTTCAGAGCGCATTTTGTTATTACCGATTCACCTAAAGTACTATTTATGTAGAATAATATAACTGGATTTTTTACCGAGTGATGATAACTGAAGGTAGAAACATTTGTTTAAGATTACCGGTTCCTGGACAACTGATGTACAATCTTCAAAAGATATTTAGAAGCAATAATATACTTCTAGCATCGATCTCAGTATAAAAATTGGAGTTTAAATGTTTTGCGATCTAGTATAAGTGGCTTTCCTAAAGGAAAAATAACCGAGTTACATTAACACAAGTTTAAATAGTACCGACGAACTAATCAGATTCGTGAGAAGTAGTAAATGATTAATGGCAGACTGTTTCGAAGTATTTTGTTGAACATGAATCCATGAAAAAACAATTTATCATGAAACCAAGAGTGTGATAAATTGATCAGATATCGACATGAGAGGATATAAAGTCTAAGTTCATAGGTACAATATCAATGACAAAGTTTCCTGATATAAACTTGTGTATATATTTTTTAATATATTTATCAATACAAAAAAGCATACTATACCTCATCTTGAAGTTTTTCATTGCAATTTGTTATATTATCAGTAGGAAGTTCACTTTGACATTTCGTTTCTTCTGAACCATTAGAATTCAATTCAGGGAAATCATCATCTTGCCAAGCATCTAACTCAACTTCTGTAGAATCACTTATTTCACCAGATAAACGTGTATTAGAAACAGGCACAGATAAGCTCATATTCACAGTCTAGAAGTGAATAACAAAAAATTGTTCTGTACTCAATCATAAATAGACTTTTGTGAGTTCTCACACATGACAGATTTTAATGCTGAGATAGAACCCAGATAAATACTTGATAGAAATCACGCGACCCCTATATGTTATTTCTAGTATATCACATATATGAATTATTTTCCAAGTACATATTTACGTACTCGTATTTCAGTCATACGTTTTCAGTGGGATTTTGTGACCATGTCCGCTTCTAATACCAAAATACGGTTGAAATTTGCAATTCAATAGTTGTAAATCAAGTTACTTTAAGCATCGATCCACAAGCCGTGTTCAAGAAACCGATAATAAATGGAATTAATTCTTGATTTATGAAATCCATTAGTTATACAATGATACAATCTTTTTTAAAACCGAAATTACTTTATAATAGATTTTGATAGTTTTGCTAAATTCGAAAAATTACTTATAATTTATACAGACGAAAATTTTCAAACATGCATATTTAGTTGAGTGAATTTATGCTGAAGATGTGTGAAATTATAAAGAAAAACATTACTATCATTTGTAAAAATAGGAGTTTTCCATGTTATTATGGAAGTAAGCAAGACAATAAAGGATTGCTTCAGTGAAATGTGTGGAACAACATGCCACTTGAGGTATCTAACTATTAGAAATCCAACCAGATAGTTTGAACCTATCAACGTGGGTCAATTCAGTTGTCAATAACTTCATAACTTTTAGCAACAATACTACTACCAGTTTATCATAGACTTACTTTTTGAACATCGTTTTTAGTAATACATTCATGATGAGACTGAATGTTGTTTATCAAAAATTTTAACTTTTCAAGTACATCATTATCAGTTTCATGATTTGACTGGGAAAATAATATTGACTGAGACAAAGCTGACATGATTTGTGATGATTCAACTCCATTACGATTTAACATATCGAATATCACCCGATGATAAGTATTTATTTCATTTGTAAGTTGGTCAACTAGTTCGTTTATTTCGTCAGATTTACTGAAAACATTATGTAATGACGATTGTGTTTGTTGTGCTTCATTTGAACATGTGAAATGATAATTATTACTAGAAGCATCGTCAATATTTCCTAAATGATAGGCATTTTCACAATCTGTTGAAGAAAACTGAATTTCAACTGACGTGGTTGGAATTGATGTCGTTGCTTTTTCATATGGTGAATCAGTTTGCAGTTCTTTACTTAATGATTTAATTAGAGAATCTGTTTGAACACTTGAAAGGAAAAGAAAATTAGAAAATATAAAACTAATCTATATGTAGAATGAGATTTATTTTTATAAATGCTTATGATAATCTGGACATCACTGCCAGGCTTACGATGCTTCAATTAAAGCTTCAAAAGCTATAATACAGGTTTTTAGTTGCTTATGAAAACCGGAGATTCGGCGATATGTATCACAAGGAAAATCAATATGCAGATAGGTTTACTAAGAGATTATCGAAAGTGACTAAGTGTAAGTCTCAGCTGTGCGAGCAGTGAGCCTTGAGAATAGAACCATTTATATAAAATAAATGGTTCACATAGTACAATGATATATTCGTCACTTACAAATTGCCTGTTTAAACCGACCATTCAAAGTAACAAGTAACCACATGGTGTTGTGTAAAGTTTAGTGAGGGTTGTACATTTTAAAAAGCTTTATGCAAAGGCTGAAAATCAATATTGTATCCACGATACATGGAAGATGAATAAGCACTGAAGAGCTCATTATCTGCGAATATCGATAAGAGTACAATAAAAAATATGTAGATATTTCTGGAATATTTTGGCGTATATTTGAGGATCAGACACTTAGAATAGGGTTTTAGGAAGTTATGACTTAAACTTTCTCATACAGTGTAAAGATTTCAAAATAGTAAACATTTATCATTTTAACTAATTCTAGTCAGAAACTTGGAAAACATCAATATTATACTAGCACGTAGTTTGGATGTTTTAGCTAATGTGAAGCAAGTTATTTATGATTGCTTTGTCACAAAACATTATCTCAGTTACGAAAATATACTCGTATTGAGCATCAATGATTCTGAAAGTGAAAAATTACTTTTGAATTCAATGTCTTTCTTATATGAAAAAGATTATTTTAGTCTGTCTAAAATGAATAACGAAAATAACAATATACATATCAAGAGTAGGTGGAGGTATAAACAAAGCTAGAATAATAACTATTGGAACTAATTTTGTATGGCAAATGAGTTTATCTCCTCTAATAAATAATAATAACTGAAAACGACCTCAACTGATTACCGAGTAATTAACTTACGAAGTGGAACTGCTTAATTGATAAAGATAAACTTCAGTAAACGCATCTATGAAAAAGAAATAAACGACATGATAAGAATGAAAAATTGTTGAATCAATAATCTTGTAATTACAAAAAGGAATGCAGCACAAACAAAATAACTTTAGTAAGGATTAAGAAATTCGAGATAAATTTCGTTATAGTAGGGTGGTTGAAACTGTGTAATTTATAAAATTTTATTAATTAATAATATTACCTCAAATCGTTGATAATTATAAAACCCTATAGTAGTGTCACGTTCTGATACCTACACCATACCATGCTTATAAAGATATTCAAAACATCACAAAGCACTTGATCACTAAAAACAATATAGTTTCCAACTTTAATCATAAGTATTACCAATCAATAATTTGAGAGCAAGAGAGACGTTGAGAAGTTAGATGAATGAATTCTATGATCTTATTGCCTGAGTGGATTTATATGGGCCACTAATCAATCACAAACTCCCCCTGGAGCCTCTCTGGGGTTACTGCCGGTCCCAAACCCGGAAAAGGAGGAGGGTTGGGCATAGGGTTAGCGACCCCATCCCGTAGAAAACTAACTCGCCAAAAAAACGCTGGCCAAAAAAAGTAAGTAATCAATCACAGGAAGCTGAAGTTTGTTGGTTGCAACATTCGACGGGTAAGTAATAGTTTAACAAATAATCTATGATCGAAAGCCCTTAGAAAATATGTACAGTATATAACCTAATAAGTAAACATGTATATTACTGAAGTACATATTTTACAAACTGAATGTATGAGCCACACTGAAATTTTAAAAATTCCAAATTTGTGAATTAAAGCAACATATATGAGCGAACAATATTGTTTTCGATTAGATCCTCATCAAGCTTTACTCTAATGTACAGTAATATTTATATTCATACACGAAATTAATAAATCCATCAAGGCAGCTTATGAGTCAGTGATAATAGTGGAATAGATTATATAAATAAATAGCTTTCTAATCTTCTGATATAAATCAATCGATGGTTTGTACTCCGTCTTGTGACCAATTTATCAGCAACTACATCATATCATTGAATATTATAAATCGATAGGTCGATAGGATTGGAATGCGCTTCTCTCCCTCTAAATGCAAGTTGTTGCTTCAGGACTGGTCTGCGTCAACACCTGAACTAAGGATAAGGAGTGAAGTAGTCGAACGCGTTGAAAACTTCACTTATCTTGGAAGTCTGATCAGCCCTAATGGGTTGGTGTCTAACGAAATCTCAGCACGGATTCGAAAAGCTCGATTGGCTTTTGCCAACTTACGTCACCTGTGGCGAAGGCGAGATATCCGTCTATCAATAAAAGAACAAGTATACTGCGCGGCAGTCCGTTCTGTTTTAATTTACGGCTTCATATATTTCTTTCTACGAACTAACTCTTTCTTCCTGTACCATATCCTTATTGCAATCTTTCTTTTATATATTACCACCTCTGAACTAACTACTTTTATGAATCCGGTGTTCATCTTGTTGTGTTAATGAGGTATGGCAACTTGGTCCTACGTTGACTGACTGACTGACTGACTGACTGACTGACTGACTGACTGACTGACTGACTGACTGACTGACTGACTGACTGACTGACTGACTGACTGACTGACTGACTGACTGACTGACTGACTGACTGACTGACTGAACCGATAGGTCCATCGCACCTGATATTCTAACAGTCCTTAAACGTATTTCATCATAGATCCTAAAATACCAATCTACAACATCACTAGAAGAAAAATGCCAAAGTTAAACTGAATACATATGATAGACAGTCAGCTTGATTGACATTTCACAACACTTTATCAGAGGCAGTTGTGGATAGAATCATTCAAAGAAAAGAGTATGACTATTGAGTATTTTTGAAAAATCAATATATATTTTATTCCTACTGTGGTTTGATTACATTATCAAACAGGAAAACTGATGTCTTCTAATTGAACGCTAGATTCGGTTCCTGAGCTGTTCTAGTAACCTCCAGGCTAAATCTACACGGCGACTTGAACACAAGAGAAAAGGCATGAAGTATGGAAGAGATGCTTTACTCCAAAGGTCCGTTTATGCACAGAAAATCTCGGGTTTTTATAGTATTATAGATGACCTTAGGTTTCCGGAAAATTCTGGAACGCTGCTAAACATAGTAGCAGTACATGTACTCATCCAATCAGAAACATATGACTTTTCACTTTCTAAATGTTTCTGGCAAAACTTCTAGTGAATGCTGAGATAAGATAGTTCTGAGCGTTTTCAGAGCCTTTGTTGGCTTTTTTCGAGAGGTTTTCTGGATCTCCCCAACAAAAACTAACAATGAAGTATCGTTAGTAATCAATATGAATACAGACGTGTATGTAACTTGTAATGTGGATGACTGAATCGGAAGTGAAATATTTAGTTCCTTCCTAAATATAATACATTGGTTTTTATTAAGTAAAATGATGTAGATTTACTGAAGAATATACTATGACCAATATTTCTCAGAACACCACGACAATAAAATGAATTGGATCAATGAAGAAAAAGTAAGAACTACACAATAATTCATTATTTCGACTGATGATTATGACTTTTATTCAGTAGTTTCTCTAATCTAAAATGTATGGCTGATAAATAATGCATTTATAAATGATAATTTATAGTTCACTAAAGATAATAATAAGTATTTCGACAGAAGTAGCACTAATCCATAGTTCTTAATTTAGATAATAGGAATGAGAGAACAACCCTAATTCAATGTATCATACAATTCATCATCACTATAAATGTAACTGACATATTTTCTGCATCACATTAAATAGCCAACACAAAACAAATTTCACTGATTAATTAGAATAATATAAGTAATGTGATGAAATTCCGATAGTCATTGCTTACCATTTGTTTCAACTTGATCAGCAGACTGAACAGATGAATCCTTCATTTGACTATAATCAGTCTATAAAATAATAAGAAAATGATTTTAAAGTTTATTTATTGTTAATTAGTTAATTCTGTGCAACAACAACAAATCAGTACTATTAAAAATTCAAATAAAATAAGGAGTTATATAATACATCAATATAAGTGCTAATAATCATATGTACATGTTTAACATTTAGAGTAAAACAAGTGTCAGGAAGGTAATAATTCAAAACTATTTGGTAAATGATGTAAATCAACCACTTAATTCTTGAATACCAACGAATTTTAGTTATTGTGTGTCATTTGATAAGGATATTTGGATCAGGGAGGTTCCATTGTAATTATAGGCAACGTCATCAGCAACTTCAGGTAGACACTGATGATTCTGTCAACAACAACAACAACAACAACAATAAAACCTAGTAATTAAACCATCCACTTTAGAAAACATGTGAGTGAAAACATCCAACGAATTGCATATCTTCATTAACCCAATGTATAATGGACATAGTTGGTTTGGAATCAAATTTCTATAATTTAGATGGTTCTAATAGGTTGTTGGACAGCATTCTTATCTTTACAAGCATTATTCTAGTACCTAATTCACTGTAGACTGTATCGAGTCGGTTATCAATACTCAGTAGGATTCCTTTAGTTTTATGCAACTAAGTTGTGATACGACATGTTAAAAATTACAATCAACTTCATATTACTTCAAAAAGTAACATTAATTGCAGTAGAAGTAGTTAGGAAACGGTTCAGAGTGATCTAGAAAAGATTTTAACGAATCATAGTGTTAATAATTAATGACGTAAGAAAAGTGGAGGTCCCGTGTCTAAAATTCGTAAAACATCCTAAATCAGTGGCTGAAAATCACAGGTGATATAACCTGAAACTGATTCCAATCAATTAGGAACTAATGACAATATAGCTCGATCAATATACATTGCACGATTACTAATTGCCATTGATTAGGCTGAATCGTACTTTCTTTCGCAATATTTGGTTTGTTCAGAAAGTCTAATGAAATTTCTATTTAGTAGACCTTAAAAGGTCAACTGAACTAAAGATCCCTCTTAACCAACCCAAATAACCATGATGCACTATAAGATGGTCATAACTAGTCATAAGCACAAAGTGCCAAATCCTAACAGTTGAACAGAGAAAAATCAGTATGTTTATGGAAAAGTAATTTTAAGATTTTTCATTACTAGGACAATATCAAATAGGAATAACGATCTAGCCAAACAAACATAGGGAAGATTTGTAAGATTCATACTCTGTATATGGGAAAGTGTACTGATATAGTGAAAGGATCTTGGATCGGTGTTCTTTTTATCTCTAAAATGAGTATTGCTGAAACAGCCGCCTCAATTTAAGACATGATAATGGCCAAGTTTGTGACTATCTAGATTATTTTCGCTCAGTCTAAGTGTCAGTAGGTAGGCATCGTGAACATAAATTTAAATCACTGGTACAATGATTGGTGGATAATGGTAAATAATTTTATAATAAAAGTATAGTTATATATTGTACAGTTCGTATCGTGTTTTCTTAGCTGCAAACAATGACACTGTATCATCTTTAGCTACCGAAAGGCAGATGAAAAATGTAGTAAGCAGACTATAAAATTCAGTCGATGAACAGGTTATTCGCATTAATTTTTGTACTATGGACAGAGTGCGAACAAACCATGCAAAATCAACAAACACAATGAGAAAAAGGAGATTTAAAACTAAGGCTGAATGAAAGTAAACTTGGTCTACCTGGGATGACATTTCACAAGAAACTGATTTAGAAGACTTTGCAATATCTGTTGCATCCCATTGAGTAGCTACAGTAAAATAAATTTAAATGAATTGCATAAATCACATTTGAAACTATTGGATTAGAAAATAACAAATAAGGAAGTAGTGATACAATATATGCATGTTACTATTGCTGCTACTACTACTGTAATGAACGGGACTTGTGTGGGGACAAGCAATTTATTGTTTAATGAAAAATTACAGGATTCTTTCGTAAAATGTGGAAACCATACATTAAATACTTCATTTGCAAACCGTTCATCAATTATCCTTCACATTATGTATGATTCTTTCACTTCACGATTCCCTTCTATTCCCATTTCTGTTTTCTTCAAGTCGATCTTCTTAGCCTTCTGTTGCCAGGCATTCCACTTCCGATTAATGTTACATACTACTTATGTCAACAGATATAAGTAGCATACCCCATATTACCACTAGAACAAATACTAATACCAATAGTAATAATAATAATAATAATAATAATAATAATAATAATAATAATAATAATAATAATAATAATAATAATAATAATAATAATAATGTCATTAGAAACTATTCACACACGAAATGGTGCTTAATTATTCAAACACATCATCAGTTAACTGCCTGAGATTTCATAAAGATACATTTTAACTGACTTAAATAGCTCATTAACATTGTTTATTCACTGACAATAATCAACCTTAAGCAATGTTCCAAACAGTTTAGACCATCAATAACCTAAACACGTGGAATAAACTACATAACCAAAACTAGAAGGAAGACATGAATGGAGCCACTGCTTAGTGACCTAGTACTTGAACCCTATGGGAAACAGAGAAATTGTGACATCTAAGTTGTGGTGTTAACATTTAAGCAGCAGACGTGGCTCACAGTCTCGTGTACGAATATGAATGAACAAAAAACCAATATTTACAGTTCTTTACAGGATGATTTAATCTATAAACTACAGGCCCTCGGTTACTTTTGAAATTGATATAAATTCGTTTTCTAACAGTTTGGGCCAAATAATGTTTAGTATATAACAATGGAGTTTTTGTTAATCGAAGGAAATCGATCACAGATGCATCTTCACTCGAGAAATAAAATATTAGTAGTGCTTATATAGTGGATGCTACTCACAAGACTATTCGTAAGTAGTTTAGCGGATAGGGGCGTCGAAGTTGAAACAAATCAGACGGAGTGAAGAGTTTCATTAGATCGAAAGTACGGCGTCGACAGAACACTTGGAGACCAGACGAGAAGACAGTTCAAATGGCAGAGCATACCGGAAGATGCGAATGGAACATTGAGGGCTATGTACATGTATTATGTAAATACTTTGTAACTTCTCATAACAAATATAGACTCATTTTGATTGCCTTTTTCTACACTTATCTATAACGACTAAGAAACGTCTACAACAAAAACGGTTAAAGATAGGCTTAGGAGAATAATCTAAATAAATACTGAGAAAAGTAGAGGTGTAACCTACTTGGTTTCTTTTTCTTCTTTTTACCAGGACGTGATTTTTTCGAATTTTCTTGACTTTCAACAAACATTGTTAAATCACTGACATCGGTACAGACTGATTTATCAGTTTTAAAAGTACTTTTAAAAGTAATATTTCCAAGATCAGTTTGATTAAGATTGACAACACAACTTGAGCGGTCCTGAAATTCATCTACCTGTTTCTGAAGTTTAATCACTTCAGTTTCAGTTTCTTTTAACTGTTCCACAAGATTAGACAAATGATCTGAATGGCTCTCTTGTACGGCAGCTATTTCATTCCTATGTGTTTCATGTAAGTCACTGATTTGTCGTTTTAATTGCTTGGTAAGAAATGTTAAAGAAAACACAGGCAAGAAACCATATATAATTGAAACGAAATTTTGTAAATAATATTCATGAATAAATGAAATCTAATGAAGGTTTTCACACGAAGTTATAGATGGCAAGGATATCAAAGAAGGGATATATAGGGAAATATTGAATGATTGGGATACGTGGATGTTAAATAAATAATAGATAAAATAAAAAATCCCCATTATTTCATAATACAGTGTTCATGTGTTACTTCAAATCTATCCAGGAAGTCTTTACTTCGAATAATCAGAAAAATCAAGAATACATATCTACAAAGACGCATTAGATGATTTGGACTTCGCAGATGATATAGCCCTTCTTTCTCATACACACCAATAAATGCAGATGGAGACAATCGGTGTAGCAGCAGCCTTTGCGGCGGTAGGTCTCAACATTCACAAGAAAACCAAGATTCTCAAATACCACACGGAGTGCGCCAACCCTATCTTACTCGGTAAAAAAGCCCCAGAAAAGGTGGAAACTTTCATGTACCTGGTCAGCATCATCGATGAACGTGGAGGATTTGATGCAGACGTAAAGGCGCAAATTGGCAAAGCAAGGGCAGAATTCCTATAGTGAGACAACATATGGAACTCGAAACAACTGTCAACCAACATCAAAGTCAGGATCTTCAATGCGAACGTCAAGACAGTTCTACTGTACGGAGCTGAAACTTGGAGAACTACCACAATCATCATCAAAAAAGTACAAGTATTTCTAAACAATTGTCTACGCAAGATACTCAATGTCCGTCGGCCGGAAACCATCAGAAACACCCGACTGTGGGAGAGAATAATCCAGCTTCCATCTGAAGTGAAAATTAGGAAATCATGTTGGAAGTGGATAGGACATACATAGCGGAAATCACCGAACTACATCACGAAGCAAGCGTTTACTTGGAATCCTGAAGGGAAACGGAAAATATGAAGACCAAAGAATACACTGCGGAGGGAATTGGAAGTAGACACCAAAAGGATGAATGGCAACTGTCAATGATTGCCCAGAAAAGAGTTCAATAGAGAGTGCTGGTGGGTGGTCTATGCTCCTCTACGATGGGTAACAGGCGTAATTAAGTTAACTATTAAAAACTACTGTTTATAGTCATCTAACTAACTCATAGTAGTTTTTGAACAATATCAGTAGCTTGACGGGAAAGGGATAATTTTATCATATTTTGTTGGGTTTTTTAAAATAAGAATTTAATGCATAAACGTGTGGATCAAAAATTATTATATATTCTTTAATTAAATAAGATTTTAATAGCTCAAGAAATATAGTTGAATGACTGTAAATAAAAATCTTTTCTAGACATTTTATGGAATACTATTTTCAACACCATTTAACAAATCTAAAGTTATAAGCCACATTAAAATAAAAAATTCTACTTACTTCAATTTTATTTTCCAACTCTATGTTCAACAACTGATGTGATGAAGTGTTATCCGAAGATTTTTCTTTCTAGAAAAACGAGACGTTAAAAGGAAGAAACAATCTTAAAATTGAACTGATGAAACTATTCTTCAGATGTAAATTAGTGGGAGAAAAAAACAAGATAGAGACAAGTACTGTCAAACACCGGGAACTGTGTATGCTGCGTTGTATAAGGCCTGGAACAAATGTGTGGCGTGATCCATGAAAATATATTAGGAACCATATGGTTAGTGGTGAGTGTTCACTGTGGAAAATTTTTAACTAAAGGAGTGATGAGATGAACGCAAGAATTTGCTATCTCTTGAGAATTACCCTATCTTTAAGTTCAATTACATTAGATGTCAGTTAGATTGCGGAATATAATAATATGTTATGTGGCGTATATCTATTTGGTTCCTACTTGTACCAATGTTTATGTGTTAACTAAATAATGTAAAAGATGGTCAAATCAACACATGAAACCAGTCCACAAAGTCACTTATACTTGTTTGAGACCTGCAAAGAGATACAGAATTCTTCGTTGCATTTGGCAAAACAACCATAACCCAAGGCGAGAGACTGCGGGTGATATATATGGTTCAAAATTATTCGCGGTTGTGCAGCTGTACTTATTCAAAAAATTTAAATCTTGGAATTATGGTATTCCATATCCTTCGGTTTTCATTTACATTCGTTCTAAATAAAACAATATATTTGTACAAAAATGAGATTTTATGACGTTTCGTGACTAAGTGTAAGCCACTCCTTCAGAGAATAAATAACCAAATCGAAATTAATCCAAGTTAATTCCCACATACTGGAATAGTATAAAGATATTAATTTATTCATAACAACGTACCAAATGTTCAACTTATTCGAAATCATCAAGCCAAACTTTAGTAATGATATCTATTTACATTCGTTCATTTCGATATTACCTTTTTTCGTCCTACACTGTTTTTTTTCTTTATTTTTTATGCTGATCAGGTGTAGCAACTTAGACCGATGTCTATTAATGTTAGTTTCAATTCTGTTCACACCATGCCATCTGTTTATTTTATCAGTTTGTAGATCGTAACCCGACTCCACCTGAAGTCCCTCTAAGGTTAAGACTGGTCCTGAGACCAGATAAGGCAGAGATGGACGTAGGGTTAGCTAACCCACCTCGTCAGAAAGAAAACTAGTAAATCTTAGCCAAAAATGCATTCTAACTATTTAAACTCTCCCTTAGACGTTTTGATGAGGCACCAAATACATATGCGCCACACAAATCTCAATCGATATGTGTGAAGGCTGTGATACTGTCCGGGTGCCCAAACCGAAGCAGGTGGTTTTCTTAGGGAGCCACACCCCGAGCCTTCGACATGAAGGTTTGATCGACAAGGCAGTGGAGCATCGTAAGGAGATGCGGTCCCATGGAAGCCGGTGACCAACGATTGGTTCATACTCCATTTGTTCCCGCAGGATACTGGAGCCCATGTGCACCATTGGTTTGGAATCCGGTTAAAGCGCCGGACATTCGCTTTTCGTCCTCTCATTTTCGTAAACAACACCCTCGCCACGAGAAGGCAGTGAGTAGACGTTGAATGATCCTTGTGCAGAAGAGTTATAACGCCGCACGATAAAAGTCGGGAATCCCTGGAAGTCACTAGGCCAAATCCCCTTATGAGAAACAGGATGACAATAGACATGGTGACGTGAAACGTTTAAACAATCCGGGAGGCAGGGAGATAGCCAATGAAATGGCCACAGAAATGAAAAGATACAACCTAACTGGGCTTACAATAAGCCAAACTCAATGGAGCCATTTCGGATAAAACAAGACTAGCTTCGAGAGAGGTGATATTGAAATACAGTCGTGAAGAAAATGCCTCATACACATGGAAATATAGCAGACTATAGCGCATAGCTAAGAACAAAGAAAGTAAACGAAACACTGAGGTTCAAGAGTAGAGGGACAGGTAATTAGAGTGTTCTGAAGGGCTCTTGGAGAGACCAGCCACGCTGAGCCCCCAAAACATTGAAGTAGAATAAACAGACCTCCATATATATAGTCCCCTACCAACCATACAAGAAATAAGCAAGGCCATCAGACTAAGTAAGAATGGCAAAGCAACAAAACCAAATAGTACACTAGCTTAAGCACTAAATTCAAGTGGATAGGAAGCTGCAATCCTGGGAGAAGGACAAGTACCAGCAGAAAAGAAAGATGGATGACTCACTAAGATACCGAAAAAAGATCTTAGTAAGTGGATGGGACTCATCACATTTCAACTCTTTTGATTATGATAAAGAAATTCTATAGTATGGATAGTATGACACTATGGAGTACCTGAAAAGACCATCACTATCATACGAAACTCATATGAGGGAATCAACTGCAAAGTCATACATCAACGGCAGCTCACAAATACATCCCAAGAGAAGACTAATGTTAGACAAGACTGTCTACTCACACCTTTCCTCTTTCTGCTAGTTCTTGACTGAATTATGAAAACCTCCACATCTCAGGAGAAGCACAGACTAGACACATTGGACTCAGCTGGACGATTTGGACTTGGCAGATGACTTAGTCCTGCTCCCATATATACAGCAACAAATGTAGACGAACACAACCAATGTGGCAACGGCTTCCACAAATGTACGCCTCAGCGTTCACAAGGGAGAAAGCAAGACCATGAAGAAAAGCACAGTGAGCACCAGACAAATCATACTTAATAGAGAAACTCTAGGAGAGGTGAAAGGTAGGATATGGTTCAGATGTGAGGGCGCGAAATGACAGAGCAAGGAAAGTATTACTACAATTAAAGAATATTTGGAACTCAAATAAACAGTCACTTAAGACCAAAGTCAGATACTCCAGATCCATTGGCAAAAGACTATCAACAATGACATACTGTGCCAGAGGACAAAACAGCTACTAGCCGAGGAGGAAACTAGGAGAATAAGAAGAAGTTCGATAATAAAAACTACCCACAAGCCATTAAACTGCACCAAGTCAAGTCCTAACTTTGAATCCGCAAATTACAAGAAAAAATCATACATTAATCGGTGTTCTATGACCCAAGAAGGGTGACAGGCTTAAGCAAGTAAGTAACTTGTTTTCCAGTTGCATTGTGGAAACATCAGAAGGTAAAAGCGAAAGAAAAATTTTAAGCCTCACTTTTTTGGCAACTTTCTTCCATTTAGTTAATTCTGCACGAAGTTGGACAACCTCATTTTTTAATTCTTCCCAAGTGACTGTGCCATCTGAATGTGATACAGTTGACGGAACTTGATGATCTTCACTTGCAAGATCTAAGAAAATGGAGAAAGATGTTAATTGCCTCAGAGAAAGTAATGAACGGAGTTATTTAAAAATCTATCTGGTTGCCTGAAACAAATATGTTACGTAAGGCAAATGATTTATTCCATTCAAAAAATTCTATGAACGACTCATGCGAAACCCTCTAATAATTGTAAAACAAACATCGTAGTTTACATTTAAAGGCAGCAGTCATAGAGAACTTTTGAAGTTTCACTGTAAGATTAAAGTGAAAACACCTATTTCTCAACAACAAATGATTCTCAAAGTGTGGTACATGAAGCTCTACTTCGTTGATGATTTGTCAATACAAACACTTTATATGGCTGAAAACCACAATACAGAGACTTGTAACAATAAGAAACACTTTTTAAGAAGATAGAACAGACTTATGTCCGCTCTCGCAACTATCAGCTCAACAACCAGGATTCAAAAGGTTACACTGTGGACTGTTAATGAGGTAAATAAGATTTTCCAAGGGAGTAACCATGATATTAGTTGAGATACTAATTACTATAACGCGCAGTTTAAAGGAAGTTAATAGTAGATGATTTGATGATTTAACGATTTTGATTGCATGTACAGTAAACAGTTATTGGATTATTAACACATGAATAGAATAAGTATTTCCGCATAATTTAACCATTTTGAGCGTGAGGTACACGATTTCTTAAAATTTCTTTGCATGTTTTCCCTAAATCATGTATGTAAAAGCCTCAGTAAATTCAGTCACAACGCCTGCTGGAACAAGTATATGAATTACTCACCAGGATACTGTGTTAGTCCAGATTTGGTTGCACTGTTATCAATAAGACAGCTTGTAGTCCCAAGTGAAGCTTCCGGCTGTCCTTCAGGTTCCCCACGTTCATTCGACACTTCAGCTTGTAACTTGAAAATTAAATTCTAAAGAATTAACATTCAGTTTTTGGTGAACATGGGAAAACAGATGGGAAAACTAGATGACAGATTATTACATAGGCAATCATGAGACGAAAGAAAGGTGTGTAATTATAAACTAGGTTATTAAATCCCATAAGAAAGCCATCTTCCACTACGGAACTCCTTACTCTTTAATGATAATAATAGAACAGTAAAAACCAATATTTTGACAAGAATAATCAAACTCTCTAAATATAAATTCTTACTAATATTTGGAATACACAATGAAAAGTAAACATATCCACAACCAATGTATGTAGTGAATGCTGTGCCAAAATCCGTAGAAACTATACGGAATTTTAGGGTATGGAAGAAGCATAGAGATATAACTTAGAAATCATGTGAGTTTTTTAGACGAAGTTATCTGTTTATGAACTTCCATTCTTTGAATACGTTAAATATTAACAAGTCGTTAACTATATATATATATATATCAGAAACCATAATATGCAATGATTGCATCTCATAATTTAGACACAAAATGTGAATTCCTAAATAGATGGATATTCAATTAGTGCAACTGTACCGATTACATTGCCCAGCAATAGACATGTTATTGAAGATCTATAGTCAAGATTTGATTGGAATAGCATAGAAATACACAAATAAAACCGAAACAAACTGAGGAAAACATACATCTTTTTCACGCAATTGTTGAATAAACAGTTCCTTTGTGTGATCGAGCCTCAGCTGTAATGACTCTAGCTGCACCACAAGCTCCTCGTTCCTACACCTAAGAGAGTTAATCTAACAATACACAGAAAGGTAATGTTTGCTAACTTCTGTCTTCTGAGTCTCAACAACTGATTCAAGTTCACATATACGTGAGCGTGCAATCGATAATTCACTTTCAGGATCTGCTGATAGATATTGGTTCAAGATAAAACAAACCATTAATTTCACGCGTCCCTTCGGCTAAAAGATCTTTGGTGATGTTTGTTAACTGACCCTTTATGGACGATAATCCCCCAAGCCAATCCATTTGACTGTCTTGAAGGGTAAGGGTAGGTCAAGTGACCTATGTTATTCCTCACGATATGTGGTACTGTGAAGATTCAATCTCACTCTCAACGCACTAACAGGTAGTGATATTACGTGTTCTGATACAGAATTGCAGTCATTCACGAATAGATGCAAAAGACGAAACTTTGGGGGCGGACGATTAAGTCTTGATACTTGAAATTCTTGAGTATGTTCTCTTAAATGATATCCTAGACAAAAGAAAAAGATAGTACCATTATCATCGTTAATTATGCAATAAGCTAGTATTCAATTGCACCTTAACCTATGGTAAGATGGACATAGGATGACGCGTCTCAATCTATGTTCATAACACAATCTAAAAAGACCTTTCACAGTTTTGAACCCAACCCTTGAGCTCGGTCTAGTGTATCCACTTCACATTGAAAAAAGGAACCCTATATTCCAAATATGGTCCCATACAAGTCAGGTATAATATTCGGAACATTTTATCCAGATAGCTAATAAGACTCGATCTTTCAAAGAAGCAAGTTTACTATTACCCTAATTTATTAATTCATCACTTAATATGACTCATGAACCCTTATAATCAATAACATTAGGTAAATGTAATTAATTTACTGTGTAATTTTATGTAGATCGCCTAAAAGAACTATTTGTATCAATATAATCTTGCTAAAAAAACTACCCCTGGACACACATTGAGGTAAGCACCCAACTGCGTCACAAGGCAAGCCCTCACATGAAATCCTCAAGACCAAAGGAAAAGAGGAAGACCAAAGAACACATTACGCCGAGAAACCGAGACAGACACGAGAAAAATGAACAAAACTTGGATAGAACTGGAAAGGAGGACCCAGGACAGAGTTGGTTGGAGAATGCTGATCAGCGACCTATGCTTCATTGGGAGTAACAGGCGTAAGTAAGTAAAGAATTATTCCTAATGAACGCCTGCTCGTTTACCCCGGAGTATTCAAATCTTCTAATAACCTAATAGTCTTATTACACCTATTTTGTGTCGTATTTATCTATGTCTTACAGAAAACAGAAAATACACATTATGAATACTCGTCACAATTCAACTTGATGATAAGAAAGAATGGGAAAAATATTTCAGGATCGACCAGAAATGTAGTTAGTCAACCATGAAGGTGATATGCACACTGAATCATTTTGACACGCTATGAGAAGAGTCGTGAAAATAGCAATGATAGCAAACAGCGAATTAAATCAAAAGGTGAAAAGAGATCAGTGGACTTCGGCAGCGTCTACAGAACTGATAGATGCTCGGAATTTCATCCCGTCTGGTTCAGAACATGGTAAGGAGCGAAGGTATTTTAAACGTAGGTTGGTAAAAAAGCCTACGTAATGATCGTGAGTAGTCGTGGGTAACGGTAGCAGAAGAGATGAAAAGGCATCAGCGATGGGTAACAGTAGACAATTGTTCCGACTTATCAAGGAAACGGGTATTGAAAATCCGTTTGTTGGTGAAAATATCTTGGAAAACGACGGAACTACTATTCGCTCTCAATTCAGGAGACTGAACTGATGGGTAGAGCACTTTAGGGAACAGCTTAACTAACCTTCAGCCACACTTCAGTTACCCACTATCTCCGAATAACCGGAATGGCAAACTGATGTGAGTTCTCCAACTCTTAGAGATTGAAAAGGCTATAAGTAATCTAAAACGATGGGGAGCAGCAGGGACTGGTGGACTAACTACTGAAATTTTTTAAGGATGGTCGTTCAGTTTTAGCAGTCATATTAGCTGAGATCTTAAATAGAATTTGAAGACTGGATGTAATTCTATCTAGTTGGTCTCGATCCCTGATCATCGCAGTCTACAAGAAAGAGCCAAAATCCTCTTGTAACAATGACAGAAAAACCATTTTGATTAACACGGTGTCTAAAATATTAGCTCCTAACGTTTAGGTAAAGCTCGTGAAGAGAAATTAATATTTACAACTCAGCAACTATCCCTAACTTTCCCTTCAATCCATGGATTTAACAGTTATAGGCTTACGCATCCCCCATGTAGCCTCAGGAGCTCATGCGTGTGTTTGGAATATAAGTAGGATTAAACCTGTGTTTCTAAAGAACACTGAACAATGATGTCCAGCGTACGCTGTATACACCCAGTAATGTTCTATCGTTTATAACCAGATGTGGGATTTGTAAAAGCTTTGCGAAACCAGACTTTATATTCATCATATTACACATCATTCAACATCAAGTGACAATCACTTGATCTTGACGAATATTATTGATAAAACACAGCATTTCCTATGGGGATCCTTATAATTACCAAGATTTCCCCGTGAGTCAAGCGGTTGGGTTGAGTAGTGATTTGACCCACATAAGCATGTGTAAAAACAATTCGAAATCTCCTCACCAGTTAACTAAAGGGCCTCCAAACTGTGTACAACCAAAAAGCTGACGTACTGAACCGCGTTATTCTACGCGGGATAATTATCTTCAGTCACATTAAATGGTTCAAAGGGTTCTGGACGGAATAGAAGAAGCTTTCGCTTAACAGACAACCGTATCTTGTAACGATGGATCAGCGATGTCGACGAGTAGGAACCTAGGAAAATTTAGCAATAAAAAAGAAAAAATATTGATAAATTAAAGCGAGGAACTGTCTTCAGCCCATAAGAATATGTCAAGTTTTCTCTCAAAGGACTTCTGATGGGTTTCTTGCACAAGCTCAGTCAGCAGCCAATTTCGGCAGTTGATTGTTCTTGAAGGGCGGAAGGTATGCCTACAATTCGTCCTGTAATGATGTATTTTCGGTGTCTAGGTTGTAGCGGTAAATAAATCCCCAAAATAAATAGCACTAAGTTTTCGACATTGGATGCTGACCATATGTTTTAGTGGACTCACCTAGCTGAAGGCGCTCGGTCAGGCATCCGCACCAGATCACGTGTGGTAACGCCGTGCTCAACATCAACCGCAATCGCTAGCCAGATTAGATCAGAGAATTCCGATATATTGGTCATCGCCAAATATACTCTTCCGATCTCCTCGACTCTGTCTTTTGATTTCTCTGGGCGGGAACGAAATATATTAGAAGGTGTTACTGGTAGAAGCGTTGTCAAACACTGAATACCTGTGACATCAACATTGGTGAAACCGACGTGATCTGGTACACCTAATTGCAACTGTGAGTCTGTTCCTTTTTGGGATTTTTATATATCATTGCCTTATTTTTTTAACTTTTTTAAACATTGTGATTTTTTTTCGTGTTTTATCCTGGATATATATATTTTCCCCTCGTTCATTATCGTACTTCATACTTCATCATGACTGAACAGACACCTAAAGTACTCAAGCTTAAGACTTTGTCCCCGCCTTCGTTTCAACTGATGCCTTTCTGGCCCGACAACATCGAAGCCTGGTTTTGCTACGCAGAAGCCGACTTCTCCGAGCACGGCGTGATCGACAAACGTACACAATTCCTCGCAGTAGTCAAGGCACTACCGCGCGAATTCAACAGGTACGTAACACCTAGTATGTTTACTAGTGATGTTTCCGATCCTTACGAAATCTTAAAACGCTCGATTCTTAAACGAGGAGACCTAACCGATCGACAAAGGTTAGATCAACTCTTCAACAATATCGACCTGCAACACGGTTCTGCGACGGACATGTTGCAACGGATGAGAGAGGTAATAGGCCCAAGAACTTTCGACGAAGGCCTATTCAAACAACTCTTCTTGTCAAAACTTCCCCAACAGGTGCAAGCAGTTCTGGTCTCGTTCCAGAACAACGCCTTAGACGAACTAGCTGCATCTGCCGACCGCATTCTAGAAATTACGAAACCTACAACCGAGGTATTTTCAGTCAAAGAAAAACCTCAAACGACTCAGAATGATATAAACGACTTATGTCACATACTCACGCGTTATCTTAGTCTTCGTACCGACCGTAAGAGATCGCGCACACCACGTAGAAGCATTTCTCGTAAGCGATCTGTTTCTAGACCACGAGAGACAGATAACCCCGACTGGTGCTGGTATCATAACCAGTATGGAAAGCTTTCCAGAAATTGCAGAAAACCCTGCAATTTTCCCAACACGAAACCGACTGATTCGAAAAGCAATTCGGGAAACTTCCAAGCCGGCACGCGTTAACGGCAACCGTAGCCGGCGAACAAAGCCGTCTGTTATTCGTCACAGATGTGACAACGAGAGTTCGTTACCTCGTCGACACTGGCGCAGAAGTTAGCGTTCTCCCAGCAAATCCTAACGACCGGCTTCAGGAATCGGCCTTTAACTTACAGGCGGCAAATGGAAAACCGATCGCTACGTATGGCAAAAGGTACGTTTACCTTAACGTGGGTTTACGCAAACCCATCCACTGGATTTTCGTTGTTGCAGATGTTTCTATGCCAATCATTGGTATGGACCTTCTACAACACCACAATCTGATCATCGACACGCGCAAACGGAGGCTAGTAGACGGAAACACTAATTTGTCCGTTTGCGTAACTTCTTTTACTGGTTGTAGAGTATCCCCAGTCACAGTTAAACATATGATAGACCCACTCTATCAACCACTACTCGATAAGTACCCTGGGATACAACAAACTCAACCGAAACTACCGTGTGTAACCAGCAATGTTACACATCACATCACGACTACAGGACCACCTGTATTCTCTAAAGCACGACGACTAGCTCCTGAAAAGCTAAGGTTAGCGAAAAACGAATTCGATCACATGATGGACTTAGGAATCATACGACCGTCAAGTAGCCCATATGCATCTCCGTTGCACATGGTCCCTAAAAAGGACAGCAACGATTGGCGTCCAACTGGTGACTATCGGCGATTGAACGCGAAAACCATTCCCGATCGTTACCCGTTGCCTCACATTCACGATTTGACAGCTACCTTGAAAGGTACAACTGTCTTTTCGAAAATCGACTTGGTTAAAGCGTATAACCAAATCCCTATGGCTACTGGCGACATACCGAAAACAGCTATCATAACTCCTTTCGGACTCTATGAATTTTTGCGAATGCCTTTCGGTCTAAGGAATGCTGCTCAAACATTCCAAAGATTCATAGACGACGTTTTTCGAGGTCTCAACTTCGTACACGCGTATGTTGACGACTGTCTAATCGCAAGTCCGGACAGAGAAACACATCTCAAGCATCTGGATCTTGTTTTCGAACGACTCCAAAAACATGGCATAACTGTAAACGTTCAGAAATGCCAATTCGGAACCGACTCGTTAGACTTCCTAGGACACACTACCGATGCTCAAGGCATTCGACCTCTTAGGACCAAAGTGGCGGCCATTCTGGATTACCCAGAACCGACCACCGTCAAGCAATTACGCACGTTTAACGGCCTGGTAAGTTTCTATAGACGTTTCATACCGAAATGCGCATTGCTTATGAAACCTCTGACCGACCAACTTCGTGGAAATGCGAAATCCATTAATTTGGACGACACCGCACGAAAAGCATTCTCCACAGTTAAGGAACTGATTGCTAAAGCAACGATGCTCGCACATCAGGACACCCGAACACCCATTAGCATCGCAGTAGACGCATCCGACTCGGCAATCGGAGGAGTCTTACAACAATGGGTTAACAAGTCCTGGCAACCCTTGGCATTTTTCTCTAGAAGGTTGCTGGACACCGAATCGAGGTACAGCACATTCGGTAGGGAACTCCTAGCTATGTATTGTGCTGTACGGCATTTCCAACACTACATCGAAGGTCGTGAATTCACTCTTTTCACGGACCATAAACCGCTCACTTTCTCGTTAAGCTCTCCTTCTGACAAGTACTCTCCACGTGAGTCTCGACAACTGGACTACATTTCGCAGTTTACTTCAGATATCCAACACATCTCTGGAGCAAACAATGTAGTTGCAGACGCTTTATCTCGCATAACTTCCTTGAACAGTTTCCAAGGAATCGACCTTCTTAAACTCGCCGAGCTTCAAAAAGAAGACAGTGATCTTCAGCACGAGTTATCGTCCACAACACTTAAACTACGCATCAAACAGATGGGAACAGGTAAGGAAACCTTACTTTGTGACACATCTACAGGTAGGGATCGCCCAATCGTGCCGAAACATTATCGACGCAATGTCTTCAACACATTGCACAAACTTTCGCATCCAGGTGTTCGTGCAACCATCAAGCTTATAGCAGAAAGGTTTTGCTGGCCTGGAATGAATAAAGACGTGAGGGAGTGGGCACGCTCCTGTGTAAGCTGTCAAAAATCTAAGGTTATCAGACACAATAAATGTTCCTTAGGCTCATTTAAAACTCCCGATGCTCGTTTCCACCATGTTCATCTGGATTTGGTAGGACCTTTACCAGATTCAAATGGATACTCTTATCTCTTAACCTGCGTAGACCGTTTCACTCGATGGCCAGAATCAGTACCTATCAAGGACATCACTACTGAAACAGTGGCCCGCACCTTCGTCGAACGATGGGTAGCAAACTTCGGCTGCCCTTCAACCATCACTACAGACCGCGGACGTCAGTTTGAATCCGATCTTTTCCGTCGGCTGACCACACTTTTAGGAATCACTCGCTTCCGAACGACCGCCTACCATCCACAAGCAAACGGGTTGGTAGAACGTTTTCACCGACAACTGAAAGCTTCGCTATCAGCTGCAAACGTTTCACAGTGGACCGACGCTCTTCCACTCGTCTTACTAGGTATCCGCAATGCAGTGAAAGCTGACATTGGATACACTGCGTCTCAACTCGTTTATGGTACGACACTTCGACTTCCAGGAGAATTCGTGGATCCTTCATCCTCTTCAATGAACATGGATCTAACCCCCTACACGAACAGGCTTACAAACGCAATGCGTTCAGTTAAACCTGCTTCCACTCGACCTCAATCAACTGATGTTTTCGTTCAACCTGACTTACGATATAGTACACACGTTTTCGTTCGTCGAGACTCGCATCGACGACCCTTCGAATCAGCATACGAAGGACCCTTCAAAGTTCTTCAACGTGAATCTAAGTACTATATAGTCGATAAGAACGGAACCAACGATAGCATCAGTATCGATCGCTTAAAAGCAGCGTATTTAGAAGGAAATCCTATCTACGTGGATTTTCCTTCGGAACAATCGAACGACACGACTCCGACACTTATAATACCTCATCCGACAACCAACACACACGATGATACTTCGACAGTATCCGAAAATAAACTTAAAACGACGCGTTCTGGAAGAAGGGTGAGATTTCCAGAACATTTAAACGACTATTGCACGTAAGGCACTTCTCGACATTTTATATTATTTTTTAAAAAAAAATTTTAATATGCTTATATATTTTTATTTCTATTTAAAAAAAAAAACAAAACAAAAAAAACAATTTTTTTTCAACGCTATTACGTGTTCATGAGTTTATTTTCCATTTTTTTTCCGCCGACATTGTGCTTTTACTCACATACGAGTGTATTTTCGACATGCACTTACATTTTTTTCCTTTTCCAGGACGGCTGGAAAAGAACGATGACGTTTATGAGGATCCCAAATTTTCATTGTACATTTTCTTTTTCTACTATGTTGTACCTCCGTCCCATATAGTAAGGAAAGACGACCA